TTTTATTTTATTTTTATTTTATTTTTATTAGTTTTTTAATCCCTATTTTTAGCTTATTTAAGCTAATATATCTCTACTTACTAATACTAATATTAATAAGCAAATTTAGCTTTATTTTAGCTTACTAATTATATTAGCTAATAATAGCTTATAAATTAATTAATACTATATATTACATTAATTTTTAAAATGTAATATAATATAGTAAAACTATACTATATTATATTACATTAAAATTCACTAAAAACTATAAAACTACACTACTTTTAATGCTCTAAACGTAATATAGTATTTATTAGCGCGAATAACGTTAACTCTAGTATTTACTATTATTTCTTATTTATAACACGTTAGGCCTCTAGTATAAGTTACATAGATTTTATTACGTTATAAATAGCGTTTAAAACGCCCTTTAATAATCGTAAATTTACTAGCTAATCTAGTATAATAAACGATAATAAGAGCTTTAAAGAAGTTAAATTAAGAGATAAATAAGCGTTTTTTAATACTAATAAAACCTAAAATAAAGAAGATAATATTAAGAATAATAGTAAATAAATCTCTTATAAAAATAATAGGTATAACACTACCTCTTCCTTGTAATTCTCGCTTATTTATAAGGCTTCTTTTTAGCGTATTATTAAAATATATAATTGCTTAAGTTATCTTATTACTTAATTTACTAGGGTAACGTATTACGCTTAAATTTAAGTAAGAGCTAATAGTAGGGATTACCTTTACGTACTTTAAAGGGATTCTAGTATACTTAGAACAGCTAATTACGCGTAAATATTAAGCTATTTAAGCTATTACGTTTACTTATTATAAAACGTTTAAAATAAACGTTTACTCTCAGTTTAAGTAAAAGAGAAATTAAAATTTAAGACGCTTAAATAATTACCGTATAATTACGTAATTTAATTAATAATTAAAGTGTAATCGCTTAAAATTAAAGATATAAATACGTGGTTTATAGTAAGAAATTATACTAGACGTATAGTCTTAAGAATAAATTATAATAATAAAGGTATTAAAGATATAAATAATAAATAAATAATAAAAAAAAAAGACGCTTTTAGTTCTAATAAACTAATCTTAATCTTAGTATACGAATTTTCTTAGTAAACGTATAATTACTATTAGTTATAACGTGATATAATGATTTCTTGTTAAGCTAAGCTAATCGAGCCCTGTAGGCAACTAGATATATAGATCGTGCGTGTCACGTGACAGAGGAGCACCGAGTCCAGCCAGGCCGTGTACATGTACGCTGATGTAGGTATGCTAGCGCGACTCTACGAAACAGCAAGCACTCGTGAATATTAAAAGGCAATGGGACCAATTGAGTGTAGCGATCAGACATCAGCTAGTCGGGCTCGCAAGTGGCTGCAAAGTAATTGCCTACCTGGTACGCCTACTCCGTACTAGCAGGTACTTTACCCTGGTGGTGCAACGTTCGTGGAGGGTATCAATTGATCAATCAGGCAAACTGGCAAAGCATACTGAGCCCCCACAACTTGGACTTGGAAATGGAGAGGAGAGAGTGTGCTGTGGTCTGAAATTGCTTGTGGATTCAACCGCCGAAAACAAAGCACAGCCTATGCTCGTAAGCAAACATCACACCGCGCGATGGAAGATGCCACGAGGAGACACTTTTTCCACCATGGCCAAGATGTATGTTCGATGTCCCTGTTTATCGATTTCCCATTGTACGACTGAAAGGCAACCCACACCCGACGGGTGTGCCCTCCACAAACAAAGGTTTTCGGGGACTGATACTTGCGAAATCATCAAAACAGGGCAACGAAGATGAGAAGGAAGACTGTCACTGGTGCCAGCTGCGGTCTTTCCCAACACACAAAACGGCCCCCATCACCATAGTAAACGAAATAGACAGCCAAACTTTACCCCAAAATTTTCGCTTCATCAATGGCGTCGTACTTGGTGCTGGCGTCACAGCAGCCGACATCAGCTTCCGAAGCGGTTGCACCTGTGGTCAGGACGAAGACTGCCAATACTCGGGCTGTCTATGTCTCGCAGATCTCGACCGAGACGAAGCCAGTGACGATGCAGGTGATGACCATAATGGACTGGATCCGGCCACCAGAGCGTCACCATCACCAGCACGGAAGAAGGCATATGCCTACCATACACATGGAAACAAAGCAGGTCTATTACGATCAAAACTCCATTCGTCCAAGCTGCCACTCTATGAATGCCATCAGGGCTGTGCCTGCTCCCCAGATTGCCCAAACCGAGTAGTCGAGCGTGGTCGCACTGTGCCGCTTCAAATCTTTCGTACGCAAGATCGTGGATGGGGTAAGTTGAACCCATCCTGGGGGATAAATTGACTTGCTGACGGACACATGCAGGTGTACGGACTCAAGAATCAATCAAGAAGGGCCAATTTGTGGACCGTTACCTTGGCGAAGTCATCACCTCCGCCGAAGCTGATCGACGCCGAGATGCCTCTGTGGTTTATCACAGAAAAGATGTATACCTCTTCGCCCTGGACAAATTCACGGATCCTCAGTCGCTGGATGCCCGACTTAAGGGTCCTCCACTCGAAGTGGATGGGGAATTTATGTCGGGACCTACCCGATTCATAAACCACTCCTGCGATCCAAATATGCGAATTTTTGCCCGTGTTGGGGACCACGCAGACAAACATATACATGACTTGGCCCTCTTTGCTATAAAGGACATTCAAAAAGGCGAAGAGCTGACATTTGATTACGTGGATGGGGCGAGTGGAGATTTTGAAGAGCTAGAAGGCAAGATAGAAGATATGACGAAGTGTCTGTGTCGTAGCTCTAAATGCAGGAGATTTTTGTGGTAGAGACCTTGAATTCAACGGCATCCCTGACGTCTCAAGGCCAAGGCCAAAAATTATTGATTGCCTACTCCATCATGGTGGCCGGTTAATGTCAAATGGCAGGCTTTGCTTTAGGGCCGGGCTCCCACGTTGTAGCAGGCTAAATGGTACGGTCTCACGTGTTTACGAGGGCCTTGGAGAGACTGCACCTCTTGATTTGAGGCAGAAGGTACACAGTAGCTATTCCCTTCAAAGAAATAAACCCCTTAATTTTTAATCTCGCCCCCCGACCTATGGGCGCGACTGTGAAGGCAGAGAGACTGGCACAGACATGGAGGATACTCTCATCACCCCTGCATGTTTTTATGGCAGCCGAAAACACTCCCGGATTAACAGCGTACTGGCCTCGTTTCGACGTTTTGATTGCAGGACAGTGGGCATGATGCCCAGTTTCCCGAAAAGTCCTGTATACCGTCAAATCTGGAACATCCAATAACACTTTACGCAACATGCAGGTCCCTCTTTGGATACATTGTTGACTTGATCCTCCTGACAATCTGCAGGGTAGGCAAGAAGTGGCATGACACGGCACCATGGACGCAGTCTTCCTCGGAACATGGTGAGATCCTGTCCGTCCGAGGCTAAGATCCCAGGGCCAGGCCGAAATCAAAGCCGGGCCCAGCCGAGGGGCATTGCCTTTCCCACCTGGCGACAGGTGCAGAAGGCGGGTGAATTGCTCGGGGTGCGTTTAAATTTTACTTGGGGTGCGTTTTGCTCTACCAGTAACTAAATTTAGCTAACCGGCCTGCTATTACGCCTCTTAATATATTTTTAATATAAATGTATAATTATAATTAAATGTAAAAGTAATTAATTAAATATATGAATTTCTTAATAATATTATATTAAGTGAGCTTTAAATTACTTAAAAACGTAATTTTTAATGTATTTAATAAATATATATATATTTATAAGCTATTAATTTTTTAAGCTCTTTTTATTAGCTTATTTAAAGTCTTTTAATAAACTATTATTTTAGCTTAAAGATTAATGCTAAGTATCTTTATTAATTATAGCTTTTTAGTGTTAAGTATAACTACCGTACATTTATACTAAGAATATATTAAGGGGCGTAATAGCAGGCCGGTTAGCTAAATTTGGTTAGTGAACGCACCCCGAGTAAAATTTAAACGCACCCCAAGCAATTCATGAAGGCGGGGCCCCAGTGATGGCTCCGCCATCAGGTTGCCCGCTTGTGTTGACGGAACCACTCCAGAGGACAGGGATTTAAGGTGCCCGCGGATCCGATCCGAGTCAAATACTAGATAGGTCACGTCGACTTTTTGTGCCCGTTGTCGTCACTACCTAGGTAGTTATGTATGCACAGAAGATAATATACACAGTCACATATAGCTTCCTGCCTGCAATTATCATCCAGTCCCTGGGTTGTAAGATGTGTGTTGCGCAGGCTCGAAAGACTCGGTCGCGTCTGGCAACTGACGGAAGTACGGGGAAGATCCTGTGTCATCAATTGTGGAGGCGACGTAACAGTTCCGTGCATGAGTGCATGGTTTTGGAGACGTGGAGCGAAATAACAGCTGACCGTTTGCCTGCCCGGGGGACAGGGGGACGGGCACATTAAACCAGCGTTGCTTCACTTCCTTTGCACTCTCGCCCCAGCCATTATCACACCACTCGAACACAACACATGGAGACTGGTACACTTAAATACTAGAGATTGCATCGCCGCGTGCTGTGTTCTCTCGGACACGTCAACGTTTCGACCGCCCAGCATGACATACACAACAGCTCTATACAACAGGTTGTTTTCTACGTCTGCAAGGGTGCATCCGAGCATCCTCCCTCACCTGCGGCAGTCTCGCCGCCCCTCCTTTCGATGGTAAGTATCTGTCATTCAGTGGGGGAGGCCAAAAGTGGCTGACCGGATCAGGTATCTGGCCATCGCGCGCTGTGTTTTAAGGTGATGTGGTGTACCAGTGTATGCCTCGGCGATAGCAAATACATGTTTCATTAGTAGTGGAAAAGATGGCCACTCCGGGCCCCCCTTCAGCTATGCACAGTGCCACAGCTAATATACCTCTCATGCCCGCGCAAATAGGCTCAAAGCTGCTCTTGTTTTGTGCGGTGCAGGGTACATTGCCAAAGTTTACATAGGTCGCGTACGGGAACGTCGGATTGCGGATATTGTTGCAGCTGAGACAAAAGCTGCAGAACTGCAACGTCGAAACAATGCCCTTCTCGATGTATACGGGGACAGATCTAGCCTCGAGGAATTGGAAAAGGCTGTCCAATTTTACCAAAAGAAGTAACGCTGATGCAGCTCGCCAGCATCTTTCAGGTCTCGGATGCAGCATTCCACAACCGAAACTTTGACACATCAACATACCTAGTTTAATACAGGCCAACACAGACATCCCGGAACACTATGGATCTAGGATTGATGGGTGGGACGAGGTACATGCTAGCATGGAGTTTCTATGCCGGTAGAAAGAAGATCAAGTTAACAGAGACTGGAGGGGATGTCCACATGGACACCAAACTACCGAAACCAGGCAGTTCGGGTGTACGTTGTGGTGTAGTACTCGACAAGGCTCAACAACAATGCAAGTCAAAGTTGTGTCTGCATAGACGGATAGGTGGGCGATCGTTGAGGAGGACTCACGTGGGACATACTCTACATTAGAGTCCAGACATCTGGGCCGTGGCGTATTTGGAAACGAATCACGCATTAGCACCTGCGTTTTGGATTCCAGGACGAAACAAAGTTATGAGAATGTGAAATACTGTAACTAGTTGAAGCCTGAGATGAAAATAACCACAGACGAGACTTAGCGCGAGCAGGTATTTGGGGTTTTGGTACTTCTTGTAATCTGGGAAGTGCTGTTTCTCTCAATATTGTTGCAGTTTCTTGGTAAATCAATCTGCCTAATATTATTGAACCGCTACATATGTACTTTGCTCGGTAATCGCTCGCAACTTACGCTACGTCTATGCTTTGAACTTCGTAGAATGTCCAATCGATGCTCGCAATTTTTCATGGTTCTCGAGACCTTTATAAGTCCACCGTCCACTTTTCCCTAAGTTGACAAGATTATGGCTGCAAATCAATGTTGCATGTTATAACCTTCAGATGACAAGAGCTCCGCCAACAGGCTTAGTCTTCACCTATCCGTCTCCAATTCCGTAAATGAAATCCATTATTTCACAAACGAATTTGGAGTTTAATGCTTGTTGACCTGGGCCGGATGGAATTATACATTTACAAGTAAACCTCGAGCTCCCTGTAGCCCATGTCTACTACTCTCGAGCGCGTCAATAGTCTGGTTCAAAGACGCTCGCTCCTACCCTATCTGATCTGTCTTGAAGCCGCCAAAAGCCGCGACACCCAGTTTGTCATTTGCAGCCTGTCGGCTGGATATTATTAGATCGGAACTCCATACCCCGACTTTCTGGGTTTTGGAGGATCTGGGTGCTGCGAACCGGCGAAGTAATCGACCTGCGTTGAAACTTACGACAAGGGAGGACTGCGCTGGTCAAAGTCAACAAGCGGATATCTACATAACCCTGGGCATGCAAGCCCGCATGCGTATGTGGCAGAAGGAGACGAGCTGGTTTTATCAACCGGAGATGCGATACCTGCTGGACAGGTTTTGCGAGAAGCCTTGGGTTGTGCCGACCAATTCGACACTAAATATTTCCCAGGCATCCGAGCTTGACGTTATAGAAGCGAAAGAGCCCTGTATATTAAAGTAACCCGAGTTCTCCAAGCAAAACAGCTTCACCGAGCCCTGACTTTTCGAATGATGACTCTTTCTTTGTCCAGCTCCCACCCCACGCCATCATTTTTTGTCAAATTTTCCCACTTCGATGCTGTGACATCTTCTAGAAACTTGAAGTCCACAGAAAGGTATGTTCGCCCGAGACACTTGAGAGTATGTATTCTTACATCCCTTTCTGCCCACTCCATCAACCGAGCTTTATGGCCGTCCACATTTTTCTGGATACGCCTAAAAAGGACGTAATTGTCATGTATTATAGCCTGCAGGATTGCATTTACTTTCTCATCTTGCAGCTTGAATTGCTGGCGAATCGCAATAGCCTCCCCAAGCTGTCGTCTGCGACACGCTGTGTCCAGCACAAGATATCCAACTACCTCTTGAACTTCCAATGATGTAAGCGGGTGTCTGACATGAATTACATTCAAAAGGTGTAATATAGCAGCATGATATGATTCTGGCTGTTTCGCCAAGACAGACAAGCGTATACAGAATAAGTATGCTTGTGCCGAAAAATCATCGACACGGTTTGAAGCGACAATGCCTTCTCTGAGTTTTCGTAGAGCTGCCAGAATACCGGAGAGATCGTTGGCGCTTGACATATAATTGGGAGGAATGAAACGCGAAGCTCCAGCACTGCTATTAGGATATTGAGGGATTGGTATATGACTACCGGCAGCGGGCATCACATCGATATGAAGGGAAGATAAGCGGCGTAGAAGCTCGTCCCGTTGCCCCGCCTCGGAACAGAATGCCATGTATTTGTCCACAATATTGGTGTAGAAATTCTCTTGGGTTTTATAATCAAGCAATCTATACCCGGGGGTTAGCAGTAGCCGTACTCTCTTTCACACTGGGCTTCGTTTGCGAGGGCTCACCGAGCATCTCCTTTTGATGGTAATCCCATGCTCTGCAGAGGATCTTGTTCCACTGGCTTCAGCCGGCCCCAAGAACTTGACAAAGAGCTTTTGCTGCCCCGACCAGGCATGGTGAAACAAGTCGAATTGACACTATTATTGACGAATTGCCTAGCCGGATGTTGTTCCGCTAAATCGTCGCATGCGCATAAGCATACGAACTTGCTTTTAGCAGCATTGAGGGGAAGATTGAAGTGTGGGTGGAAGTGGAATTTAGAGCTTGGGAAAGCTGCCCCTCCACATGTCTGGTTTATCTTATCATTGATCGGCGAGAAATTGGAGCGCTAGCTTGGAATAATACATGTACACAAAAACAACAGAGACATGTTTCAGTCATTAATTGAAATTCAAGTTTCACTTGAGAACCATTCAAAATACACTCTTTGATCATTTGTGTTTCTGGAAACTGTACGCAGTGCAATATGCTTTTTAGCTAATGTTATGCCATAGATGATTAGTACCTATTATAATTAAAGCTCTTACAAATATAGTAAATACAAGTGTATTGTGTATTATATTTTATATTATATTATATTTTCATGTATTATATTTAAATACATTACATTACATTACTAAAATACCTATAAATGTATTATAAGTAAAAAAAACCCTTGTTTTTTTAAACC